CATTCCAGGATGGTTCAGAATAAGGACTCAGTCCTGCCCACCCCCAGGCTGTCCCGTCCCTGGAGGATACTTCTAGAACCAGTTTAGCCTGCCTTCCTTCAGGCTATGTTCACCTTCTTTTAGCGATGCCAAGTGCCCCGGAAACTCTGCTCAAATATGCTATCTTTCATTCCTGCCCACCTGGGCCAAAAGTTTCACATTCATTTTACGATGTTAAGCATCTGCTCTGTTCCTAGTGCTGTTCTACCAGTGATCAGGATAGGCAAAGGCCTGTTTTCAGAAACTGAAATTCTGTGGGATGAAAGGAAGAACAAAACAAACTGTGAACTAATGAATCAGAAATTGATCAAATAGTGCTATGCAGAAAAACAAGAGTGATGTGGTGGTTATTTTAAACCTACTGTAGCTTGAGTAGTTGAGAAAAGTCCACTGTAGGAATCAGTGTGTCATCAGTGACCTACTGATGAGAAGGAACCAACCATTAAATATCCAGAGGAAGAGCACATTGCAAGAAGAAGGAACGGCAAGGGCAAAGGCTGTCAGGGAGAAAGGAGATTGCCTCTTGGAGGACATAAAAATAGGCCAGTGTACCTGAAGCATGATCTCAGGGCAAAGAGAAATTGTAAGAAGTGAGATCCAAGAACTTGCTTACACACAGATGGTTTTCAACTTACTTCAAGCAAGTAAATTTTCATTTCCCCAATTATTTTTTGAAGGGACTAGTACCATTCTTCTTTGTTATGTGTTCACTTCATTACTTAAATTTCAGTTAGCTGACTATGAAGATTTCACTGGTTTTATAGCAATGTGGGACTCCATTGCAATGTGATTTGATGTAGGAACAATCATGTTGGGTCCTTCCAGCAGTCCAAGGAGGCTGGAGGGGGCTCATCATTGTCCACCTGCTGTTTGAGCCAAACCCGTCTCAGGCCAAAGGGCTATTCTAGTCTTCTTAATTCAGCTGTGTGATGCTTTGATTGCATGTTGTCTGAGCCAACAGATAGCAGATCTACATCTGGTTTAGGAATAAAGAAGCAGGCAGAGGGAGATTTTCACAAGTCTTTGTCATCAAGCAGCCATCACCACAGAGTGGTCCTTCTTCCCCTGTAGGCACTTGATCAGTTGGAAGTTTCCCATCTTTAATTATTCCCATCTTTGATAATGAGTGCTTTTCCATCTCCCATCTATTGCCCCAGAGATGGTAAAGATGCACAGAAAGCAGGCTGGTGTCTTTCTACACATCACACACGCTGGTCTTTTTTGCACAGCAGTGGAGCATCACGTCCTTACTCTACTTGACTTTTATGTCTCCAGAGTTGAAGAAAAGCATATAGCGTAGAGGAGTGATGGGTGACAATTCCTCATTCTACCCTCTTTCCAAATTTTTGAGGGAAAAATACTTCTGGTAAAACAACAGGGGGAGATAGCTTCAATAATTTCATCATTTCTGCATATTTTAGAAACTGAGAAATACTTGTGTTAGAACCGTTTGCAGTTCTGTGTGGAATAAGCATCAGGACTCCTGAGTTGAAAGTAGCTTCTTCTATAGTATATGAAGTTTTATCCAAATATCTCAAGGAAAAAGACAGACACTATGGTAACTATTATTCTTTAAAAAAATTATTTAGTTATTTCTTATGTTTATTTTAATCAAGGGAAAAATTTAAAAAATTAGGATATATAATAGTAACTCTTTTCGATTTCCTATTAACTTGTTTTGAAGTCCTGTAATGCTCCCACGATCTTGTTTTGACTGATTAGACTCTGTTCCATTCTGTGGGATAGTATCAGGTCCGAGGGTATAGGCAACTACTTTGAAGGCAGTAAGATTCACTAAGATGCCCATTCTGGTTTGACTATTGTCTCCTTTGGAAGTCCTGTAATGTTTACAATGTCTAAGTTTTATTGGTCTTGTTCTCTACTGTTTTGTCCAACTTTATAATATCTAATGAGATAGACAAATCTTTTTAAGGAAACAAGAGACAACGTTGATAACTATTGTTAATAACCGTATACTCTGTTCTACATCATGTGCTAAGTCTATCCTTGGTTTTCACTGACAGCTTTGTTCTGCCATATTTGACTTTATTCTCCCCCCCCCCAAAAAGTAATAAGAACTAAGGAGTAATAAAATCTAAAATGTGTAAATTTTGTTGTAAAAAGAGAGGAAGGGGAAAAAAGAGCTCTAACGGATATAACAGCAAGTGTGTATAGGGATGTTGAATAGCTGACTCTATTAATGTTTTTGGATCATTGAACACAGCTGTTTGTAGTCTCTCTGTTTGAATGTCTACTTTGTATTCTTTGATACTGTGATTTGAGCAACTATTTCCAAGATGATAATATGTAATCTATTAACAGGTGATTTCTTACTGTTATGCTTTTTTTTGTAGTTCTGTATTATATGTAACCTTACACTGCTTTGTTTTGTTTTGTGTTTTTCTCTTTTTCCTCTTAAATAAAAAAAAAAAAAAGAAAGTAGCTTCTTAACACGTTACTGTCAAATTGAATTACTAATTTGTTCTCCTCCTGTTTCCTGAATTTCTGTGAGCATATACATTTTAGGTCCTCAAACCATTATTTATTCATCCCCTGATATATCCTAATTATGTATTATTCCTTCCAAAGAATAATATTCTGGATTAATAAGTAGTACTTCCCATTCATAAAAGATAACCAGTTTTCTTTATAGAATCACCCACACTTAACATGTCTCAAATAATATGTGAAAATGCATGTTTTGCTGTTTAACATAAGATTTTAAAAGAAACTGAATTCACTGATATCTGAACTCTAATAAAGTACACTTTATAAAACTGCTTAATGATGATTCTGGATGATTGGTTTTGCAGACCTAACTCTCTTCCCTTCATCTTTACCTTTGGTTTCTTCCTTTCCAATGCTTTAAATGGACAGAAAATTTCAAGAGAGGTTGGTATAGTCTACAGTTGTTTTCTCTTTAGTAGCAAGTATCAAGGAGAGTATGTTAGTTTTCAAAATGTAGCCCAACTACGTACTTCATGATATTCCAGTCTTCTTAATCATCTCCAGAGAAGTATGTGGGTGCTGTATATTCAGACATCCTCCTGGAGTAATGGGTCAGTGTCAAAGGGTACAACTGCAAGCTCATCTTCAACAGTCGTAGTCTCAGCTTATCAAGCCCTGCAGAGTTCATTACATTTGCAGAATCCTCAAGCCCTAACTATGCACAACAGAAACAGTCAATTTCTTTTACCTAAGAATATTATTATTCATTGGAGCCCCTCAGAGAAAGAAAAAAGCAATAATTTCCTAATCGAATCTGAGATATGCATGCTTCACTTTTATATATTCAGAAGCATATGAAAAAATGGGGAAAATCTCACCTTTCTATTACTTCAGGCCACATTGCACACAGTTCTGGCAGTTCAGAAATAATTGGCTTTCCTAATGCTATTTGGGTGGATTAAACAAAACTATGCCTTCATCATTAAGAGTAGCACCTTTTATATTTTGGAAGCTATAAAGTTTGCAGCTGTCAAAAATGTATATATGTGAAGTGCTGAAGACATTATTACATATCATTTGTTCTTTTGTGCCCTTTTTAAAAAAATCTTACCAGCTCATTTGCATCTACAGCAGGCCATTTGCAAAAGTAAGGAAAAAGTGTAGGTCTTCCGTTGAGTCCCTCTATTCTAATTCTCTTGGATTGCAAGATTTTGAGGGGATGTGGTAGCCCAGCTTGGAATGTAGAGCTGTGGCAGATGAGGGAGGAATCCATGAACCCAATGGAAGGAGCAGCACTTGAAAACATCCCCATATAGCCAGAGGAAACATAGCTGCTTATTTCAGTGCTAGAAATTGAACCCAGGGCCTCCCACATTCTAGGCCAGCATCTGCCACTGAGTTACATCCCCAGCCCATAGCTGCTTTCTGTAAGTGTAAAACAGGCCTCTTGAGAATTTAGTGAAATGATCATTCCCCCCTCAGAATCAATCTTGTTAGAAAAATTAACCTCCAAGGTAGCTGCCATGTGACCTTACTCAGACAGGGTATCTCCAGTTTTAAATGGTGAGGCTGAAGGAAGAACAGAGAAAAGGCAGTTGGAAACAACTTCCCCAACCACTTAGCCTCCAGTCTGGTGTCACCTTGAGTTCCTGACCATACGGTTCCCACAGAGGATATCCAAAACCAGGTTGTCTGAAAGTCAAGGATCTCCCGTCAGAGTTCAACCTCAGAATTTTTCTCATATTCTTTATCTTGTCTGAATCTCAGCTGATAAAGGAGGGTAGAATACGCTTGTGGAACATGTTGAGCATAGCCAATCAAGATTACGTTGCTGTTTGAAAGCTCCCTTGTAGATTAAATCACTTGCCTTCTCAAAAGCTCATTGAGCTGCTTTTTCCATGTGTTCCTGTGAGTAATGCCTGTGTCATGGCCTCAGTTCGAAACAAGGGAAAAAACAAGAGAAAAGAGAGAGTACATTTTGTTACTCCAAGTTCTCAGGCATCACATTCATGATACAAATACTTTTGAGATTTTATTTTTCTCTTTTTAGATAGTGTTTCATGTTTCTGCTAAATATTGAACATAGAAAATTGTGTGGAATCCATGTCTTGGTGCTCAGTATTTTTTGTGTGACACATAGTGAGAGGATAGAGAAAATTTTAACACTTTACTACTACATGGAAGGACAACAACTTTGGTGAATGGATTCTACCAGGATTATATAGGATTTCTGTCATTTTTTTTTTCAGTCTCAGACTCAACAGGAACTCATGGCCTTTGATTTAAAAGTGCATCTTCAGGATAAAACTGTCAAACCCCTGGCCCTAGGACAGTGGTCAGAGAACTTTCTCTGAAAAAAGCCAGATGAACAAGTCAGAGTACATTGTGTTGGCCGTACTGTCCCTTACAACTGCTGCTGAAGCAGAAGAGCAGGCCTGGGTCATCTGGAACACATATATGTGGTTGTTTCCCAATAAAACTTTATTCATAAGCACTGACTCTTGAATGGCATATCATTTTCACATGTCAGAATATTCTTTTAATATTTTTAACCATTTAAAAAATGTAAAAGTGGCCGGGGATTTAGCTTAGCAGTATATAAGCACCTGCCTGGCAAGTGCAAGGTCGTGAGTTTGGTCCCCAGTACAAAAAAAAAAAGTAAAAGGTAGTTTTAGTTTGCATATGACATTAAAGGTGGTAGCTCACCAGATGCGACCTTGAGGTAGTATTTTGTAAGACTGGCAGACACTTCAAGAAGTCTCCAAGTTTGAGGCTGATCTACAGGAGGCTTGTTTTCGGGATGGCTAGGATTGAGGGCGAGGGAGCACCCTCGTCTCCTGTGCCCTGGAAGGATTTGAGGTTTAAGGATCATCTCAAAACAGGCATTAAGAGCTCTCTTCCCCTTGCCAGAGATGGTTTTCTACACTGGGAATTTGTTCTGAACACAGCTGAATATGCTTCTCAGACTCTTCCCACATTCCTAGGATGCTTACTGAGCACATTCTGTGGGAGGCCATGGTTAGATAGATGATGTTAGGTATTTGCAGCCAGCACTGGGATGCTCACAGAGAGTGAACATGAGCAGAGGATGACACACAGGACCAGCAAGGAAGAGAAAGGGAAGAGATGCAGATTGCAATATTCCTGGCACCAGCCCAGGGCACTGCCTAAACCTCATCTTCTTGCACAGATAACATCCCTGACCTTTCCCAGATGAGGTGACTCATGATTCAGGATGGCTTGAAATGAGCTCGTGATGGATGTTCATTTCCCACCTAGGATTGCCAGGAAAATCATGACTTCAAAGCATTTTCACATTTTGGAGATTAATTTGGAAGCAGGTTATCAGGATTGGCTTTGGGCTGGCCGGTGTCTTTTAAAGAGTGTTATGGTTTAACTAAGAAATGTTCCTCCAATGACTCATATATTGAGGGCACTAACCTCACCACTGTGCTGATTGATTAATAAATTAATAGTTAGAATAAGTTGATAAAGGTGGGATCTACTTAGGAAAGTCTGTCTCTGGAGGCACACTGTAGAAGGCTGTATCTCTTCTCTGGCTCTTTCTTTTCCTAGCTGCCATGAAATAAGCAGCTTTCCACTGTCTGCCATGCCTTTCCATCGTGAGGTTTCTTTCTTGGAACCAGCTAACCATAGATTGAAACCTGTGAACCCAAACCAAAATAAACCTTCCCTCCATTAGGTTCTTTCAGGCATTTTGTTTCAGCAATGAAAAACTAACACACAAGGCCTGATGCAAATTTTTGTAAATATTCAGGGTAATGCTTATTGCCATCATTCTTCAAGAGTATTATCTTAATGGGTGAGTTTTGAAAATCATAAGTGGGTTTCATTCTGAGAACCAAATCACCATGTAAATACCTTAAATCCGACTTCGGCAGGCTGAGTGTTACCAATGACTCCACCAGACTCTCACATTTGCTAGAACGCATGGTGTGGGGCCATCAGCTTCTGCCTCTGCTCCCACAGCTGCAGGATCTGTGCGAGGAGCTGCTAGAGTCTGGGAAACAAAATGTCCTGGATTGAAGACACAATTATGGGAATTATTACTCTTCTTATTTAGTGTAATTATAGTGGATCTCTCTCTCTCTCTCTCTCTCTCTCTCTCTCTTCCTCTCTCTTCCTCTCTCTTCCTCTCCCCCTCCCTCCCTCCCTCTTTTCCACCCCCCATAAGCTCTAGAGAAAGGTTGTATGGCTTGGGATTATTTATCCTGAGGAGAAGGCTGGAAGGGAGGGGTAATTCACAAACAGTGCTCAGTGGTTAAAATGCAAAACCCTGCTGCTGTCTCTTCTCGCTGAAGATAGAAAATGAAGAAATGGGTAGGAGAGGCCTAAACTGGCTATGAGGAATTACGATGCCTCACTAGTAAGCACCAATGAGTTCACCTGGGGTGTCTGTGAGTACAGGGACTTGGTGTCCTGCCGGCAGCCAGAGATCTTCCCCTTAGATTCCCGCACAGGCACTAAGGATTGTCCATTAGGTCAGTGGGCAGAACCCCATCCATTCTGATTCCTAGGGCCCCGGGGTTTTGATAAAGCAGGTGGCTAACACAGATGTTACAATTCAGAGGGATAATGGCCCTCAAAGGCCTCGTGCTCATAGGTGGAGTGAGGTAATGGGATTGTAGGGGTGCTTCCACTGGCTTGCTGTTAGGAAGTGGGGCTGGTTAGAGGTGGTCTTTGCAGGCTTGACCCTGAAAATGCACTTCACTTTCCTTGACTCCTCCCTTCTGTCTCTGCTTCCTGAGCATCCATGACAGGATCAGCTTTTCCTCCTCCTCCCTCTCTGCCATGCTGTTCTGCCTTGGAGCCAGCCACCTGTGGACCAAACAATGATTCCCAATAAACTGCTCCTCCTTTAAGTTGCCTGTGTCAGGGGTTGTGTCTCAGCACCAAGAAAGTGAGGAGACAACACATCTGTGAAGGTCAGCCTCGAAGAAGACAAAATTTAGTTAGAATAGAGTCTCCAACTTCAGCCAGGAGAAGTGGCCCTGCTGTGTCCTGAGTTTGATGGAGGAAGAGTTTGCCCATTGTCAGGTAGATCCTACCTGGGACAGCAAGGATTCCTGTGCCAACCTCACCTCTGAGCATCAACCGATGATACTTCTCCACTTTCTAATCCTTTTTCTGCCCACTGCATGCCTGCAGCCAACAGGTCAGACTTCCCACATTTTAGACTTGTCTCTGCTTCCTCCTCATTCGGTATTAGTTGTAAAACCAGCACAGAGCACAGGGTGATGGCTTTCCAGGGCTCCCTTGGCACATCACAGTTTCCTGCATATGCCACCTGGGGCGGGGCGATTATGTAAATGAGCATAAGGAGGATGGGAGGGAGGAGATGTGTAATCAGTGACTTCTGAAGCTGGAGTTCTTCATGTCTGTATGAAATCTCCCAGTTTGCCAGTGTTGGCAACTAATTCAAACATGTATCCATCTGTATTGCCATACAGTGGACAAATAAAAACTATATATAGTTATGGTGTGTGAGTTAATGTTTTTGTATGTGTGTAGGATGTGAAATAATCATAGTCAAGCTAGTAAATGTATCCATTACCTTTCATACGTAACATTTTCTGTGTGTTATGATAACACGATCTACCCACTTAACAAATTTCAAGTGTATGATAGTATTGTTACCCATACTCATTTGCTGTATATTAGTCCTTAGAACTCATTCAGTTTTGCATTACTGAAACATGGTATCCTTGACCCGCGCCTTTCCATCACACACCACAAACACACATGCACACACACACACACACACACGCGCGTGTGTCCATGCCTGGAAACCAATTTACTCTCTACTTCTAAAAGCTCAACTTCTTTAGGTTTCAAATATGTGTGATATCATGCAGTATTTGTCTTTGAGCCTGGCTTATTTCCCGTAGCGTAATGGCTCCCAGGTTTATCCATCTTGTCACAAATGGCGAAATGTCATTATTTTTGTGGCTGAGTAAATCCATTGTATATATATGTCACATTTCATTTATTCATCATGATTTGTTGACATGCACTCAGTTTGTTTCCATGTCTTGGCTAGTGTGAGTAATGAATGCTGCACTGAACATGGGAATACAAATATCTCTTCAAGATACTGATTTAATTTCTGTTGGTTGTATACTTTAGGATTGCTGGGCCAGAATGTAGTTCTATTTTTAATTTTTTGAGGAACTTCCATGCTGGTTATCATAAGGGCTCTGCCAGTTTACATTCCCACCAGAGGTCTTTAAGGTTTCCCTTTGCTCTGCATCCTCACCAGTACTGGTTACTTCTTATCTTTATGATAAAAAGCCACTCTAACATCCTGAAGTGATACCTCATGTTTTGATTTCCATTTTCCTGTTGATTAGTAATGTCTAACACTTTTAATGTACTAAGTGACTATTTCTATGTCTTCTTTTGTGAAATATCTATTAGGTCTTTTGCCCATTTTATTGCTGCTGGTTTTTTAAATTTTTTACTATTGCATCCTATGAGTTCCTTGTATGTTTTAGATATTAACTCCTCATCAGATGTATGACTTGTGAATGTTTCTTCCCTCTCTCTAGACTTCAGCTTTAGATATTCTATCCAAAAAATTACTGCTGAAACTAGTATCAGGAAGGCTCTTCTCTGTTTTCTTCTAATAGTTTTACACTTCAGATTGTATATTTAAGAGTTCAGTCTGTTGCAAGTTGATTTTTGTATATAGTATGAGGTTCAGATTTCATTTTTCTACACATTATTATAGTTTTCTCAACAGCATTTGGTGAAGAGACAAACCATCCTGTATTCATTCTGTGTTCTTGACAAAGATCAGTTAGCTGTAGATATATAGATTTGTTTTTCGGCTGTTTTGTTCTACTCATTTCCATGTCTTTTTGTGCTTGTACTGTGACTTTTGTTATAATTGCCTTCTAATGCATTTTGAAGTCAAGTAATAGGATGCTTCCAACTTTGTTCTTGTTGCTCAAGATTACTAATTCAGAAATTGTGAAGCAGTATGGCACCCTAAAAAACATATATTTCCTATATGTTGGCAAGTATGTAAACTTTTGAAATCATATAAAATTAGATTCAAGCCCTAATTACTTATTAGCTGCTGACCTTTGCAAGTGACTTAGTCTCTGAACTTTAGTGTCCCTCTTACTAACGCAAGTACAAACAAAAATTGTTTCACAGCTTACCTATAAGAACTAAAATAACATGCGAAAGAATTTATATAGTGACTTCTATGCTTAATAAATGTTAGTGTTTTAATTCTTTGACCAAATTATTATATTGAACCATATGAAATTGCTTGGATGTTGTACAGTGATACCTTGGTTCATGAACGTAATTTGTTCCTTAATTCTGGAAAAGATGGCCATATTCATGTTGGGTGACAAAGATGACTACACTTGTATTCATCACCCCATGTGGAGTTTACAAACAAGAATAAAATTTTGCCAAATACTTCTGTTTGTAAACCAAATTATTCACAAACAAAAGCGTTTGTGGACCAACCACTAGAACTGTTTGGGCCTCTAAAAATGTGTATCCCTGTAGTCTCAGCTATTTGGGGAGCTGAGGCAGGAAGATTATGAGTTCAAGGTCAACCTGGGCAGCTTAGCAAAGCCCTGTCTCAAAATCAGAGAAAAACATGGCAGTTTTATGTGATCCAACCCAACAATATAAAATTCTGTTTCCTATATTATTATAATAATAATTGCTACTAGTAACAGTTAATAATGAACAAGTTCACAGCATTAACCATTAAATGTTACTATGACTATTACACCCTGTCCTCAACCACACACTTAAGACCCCATTCCCTGCTCCATTGTCATAGCTCCTGTCCCTTTGAATGTACATGGTAACTAACCATGCTTGTAGTTTACTGTCTGTCTGCCCACATTTGCTGGTATGCAAGCTACGTCAAGGCAGGGATTTCTCAGTTTTCTTTATTGTGTTTCTGTTTCCCTTTCATCCATGTGTCTAGAATAGTCCCCTGCATTTAGTGGACTTTGGGTAAACATGTGTTGAAGAACACATTTGCATAGTGATTCCCTAATTGAGGCCACCATAGGCACTTTCCTTCAAGCCTTTAATGTTGGGGGGGGGGAATCATTAGAATTAAATAAAATACAAGTGGAACTTATTACGGTGTTGGCATTTTAATAGGACTTTTCCTGCAAAACTGAGGTGGAGGAATATTAAAAATTTTCCAAAGTATCCTGTGCCCCAGATCTGAAAAACTGAATTTATGTTTTTAAAATGCAAATTTTGAGCAACTGATAAGCATTGTTTTCTCATGCTTTTTTAATTATAGACATAAGTTTTGGATGGTGCTATGTTCTTATTTATTTATTATTTCATTATCTATTTTGTGTTTTTGGGGGTCTGAACTCAGAGCCTTTCACACAGGTTAGGCAAAAGCCATGTTCCCTATCCACACTGTAATTTTAAAAAGATAATTAGCTCTATTTGCTCTCTGAGAGAAGGAAATTGGATTTGAATGGTAATTCTCCATGACAGTAAAGCCTGCTTTCACAGTTTCCTTGTGTGTACGTGTTTGTATGTACACATCTATGTCAGTACATACATACATACGTACACATACATATTTTTATTTATATATATGCATATGTATGTATAAATATTCATCAGTAGTGAAGGAAGGCTGAACACAGCAAAGGAAATTAAACATTTAAAAACCCCAATAGTGAAAACCCCAAGCCTGACTGGATTCCAGGGAGGCAGAGGAGAAAATGGTGGCATTGTCTTTAGAAGGAATGTCACAGCAGCCTGTGTGAAGAGGAAAGTGCTGATAAGCAGAATGACAAAAGCTGGTTTCATGAGTGATTCCAAGCAGCCAGGGTACACTCCCCAGCTGATGGCCAGCTATTTTCGGTATGCCACATATCATGACTGACTCCACAGAACTTGACTGGAGGCCATAAATATGGTAAGTCTATGGGGAATTCTGGGAGGTCCTTACACTGTTTACATGGTTCCCTGCCCTCCAGTGTTCCCACCCCACCCCTCACATTTAAATAGTCCCTTCAGAGCAGCTACTGCTTCTTTACTAGGAGGTGGGGGGAAACCTTTACATTCCCCAAGGCAGATATTTTTAGAGGTGATGCTATCTACAAAGCGTTAACTAATTGAGTTATCAGGTTTCAAACTTGGCCACAGAGAATGGCAGTGGAAGAGGGAGAGTTCTTTCCAGAGCAAGTAAGCATTTGTCGCTTTCAAATGAATTGCTTTTTCCTTATAGAAATTTTGCTTTGCTCTAAAACTTTTGTTTTTAAGAGAAAGTATGTTGCTGGGTAGGAGGAAACTAGCCTGTTCATAAAAAAAAAAAAAAAAAAAAGCAAAAAAAAAACTATGAATTACTTGAGTTAAATACATGTAGGACAGCGACTGTCTTATCTTTCTGTTTTGCTCAGACCTGGACTTTAGGTATTGTATGTTTGCCTCTGGTGTGAGTGTGTCTGGCTAAGGCCTGCCAGAAGAGGATGCATACCAAAATGTAAAAAGAGGATGGGTTATTAGGAGCACAAGGAGAGCCTGTTGAACTGATGAATGTGAGATATAAGTGGTTGCATAGTACTCTAGAAAAATCTGAATGCTAGGTTTTTCTGATGTATCAATTACAAGAGAAACTATGAAATTTTGCAGTTGGGAGAAACTGAATAAAGGTTTGAATAAAACTCAAAGGATAGGTGAAGGATGTAACTAGAGGCTGAAAAATGTAATTTGATTTCTATCTCAGTAGAACTGGACATAAGTTTTAACAAATCATCTTGTTTGTTAGTTTTGAAATGTTAGACTAGTGAGCCAATTGCCTTTAAGAAATGCTATATTTAAAATATAAAATATTTACAAAATGTTGAAATATTTGATTCTGGGGATTTATAAAATACCATTCAGATTCTGGTTTGGTTGAAGATTTCATGTGGTCTCTGGTTTCTACCTGTGAACTTTGAATTCACATCAGTTTATTGGACAATGAGTACACATAGGTGCTATGAATAGAATATTCTTTGGTAGTAAGGTAATAAATTAAGTACTGATCACCCTGTGAACTTTTTGCTTAAAAATTATAGTGAAAAAGTCATAATGGCTAAGAAAAGACATAAAAATGAGGACATTGGTACTTGTTCACGTAGGCAGACATGCTAATGGTTATGAGAAGAAAATTGACATTTCGTAGTTTGAGGAAAAAGCAATTTGGGGAACTCTTTCACAATGTTTATTTTTATTTTAAATGGATTCGGTTTTAATCTTTGTGTTCTTAAATACTCAATGCTTTCTGCTTAAGTATTAGCCTTGTGTGACCGTTATGGATTATAGCT